ATCCTTCAGGCACTAATCATCCTGAACAATATGCTGGTAATAACATATGTCTCCAGCAGACCTAGATTCGGTAATTGCAACAGGTCTTCACTTAAGTAACTCTTGTGTCATTATGCAGATACATGCTCCACACTTCTAAAGTAGACCAGATGATACTTGTGACAGTGGCAATATCATATTGAAAATGCTTGAAAATTGTTCAAACTTTGTGATGAATATGAGCATATTGTTTGTACATGTAGGCACAAGAATATACACAGATGAGATAGACATGAATTACATGAATTGTGCAACAGCAAAAATGTTACGTAATGGGAAATGCATTTTCTAGTCTGATAAACATAATAAACAGATTTCTGTCATCTACGTGGAACATTTATATAGCACTTTTAGTAGTCATTTTAGTATTCTTAATAATAGTATTCCAAGGGGATATCACACACTCCATGTTTGTAGACAAGACTAAGAATGTTTGCTAAAATATGTTTACTGAGTTATATGTATCTCTGTCAATGAACATGATTCTACATGTATCTTCAAATTCATACAAGTACAATGTACTAACATTCATCATGTATGTGTACATGATCTATGTCCATACTACCTTGTGTTGCCCTGTACTTCTCCTCGTGTAAGACTTTATTCACATCTTCATCATAAACATAGTCTCCACACGTCCCACATAGTAGCACCCCGTAGGAAAGGTCTAAAGCTGTGGGACAACGGAGCACAAATATCACATCAAAACATGGCAAACCATTCTAGGAACTGTATAACACATATTGCAGTTCATGCGACTTGGGTTCCATATGAATAAAACTGCCACTTTAATGTGCACAGACTATTACTGGTAGCATTAATTTAATAATACATTCTAAGAACAGTACCATGATTACGTGTACAATTGCTTGTGCATTAAGTCTACTGAGATACATGCATTCATACTGCAATATACCTGAAAGTGCTGAATGCAACAATTATGAAACTCAAAAAAGATGCAGGTTTCTAAGTCATTACAAGGAGACACAGATACATCATGTATTCTCTACACCAAATACAATACAAGGTAAAGAAAAGCGATTTCTTGCAGATGAAAAATGTAGGTATGATAGGCACAAACCTAAGTGATGTCTATGAGATTTGGCATGTTCCTGTATGTGTTGGTTGCCATAACAACCAAAGTACACACAATCTAGACAGCAATGCAACCGGTCAGCAGTAGTTGCACAGTCGTGACATATGCAGGACTGGGCCTGGGAACAAAAAACACAACAGTCAATACTCTCTATTCAACTGCAAAGTAACTGTTTACTCTACCAATGGCAATACAGCATATATTTTTCCACATGTTCATCCTCCAGTTTATGCCAAAATATCTATATTACTAATGCAATTTGCTAACTCATTGTTGTATCTTAAACATACAGTATTTCAGTAGAGATACTTAATTTGGACCTTGGTTATCTTCCTGTAGCAAAGCAGAAAAGAAAGACAACATACAGGTATACGTAGTATACCAATGTAAATCACATTTGACACTTAAGTACATAAGCAGCAAAAGAATGAATTGAAGAAACCCTTTCAGTTTCATATTTGTTGCAGATGGACATTGACAAGCTGCAGCCAATCAACAAACACAATGCAGTTCACAGCTGCTTGTGCACCTGGCCTCACCATGCACATTAGTGACATTGTATTTGTAGCTGGTTGGCTGCATCAGCTGCATATTTTTCTTAAACAGCTTCTTTACATGACACACAGATCTCCATACACTTTCATCGTTCTGAAAGTGTGTATTGAACTATTCTTAACAGTTGGTATGCAGTTCATGCAAAACTTTCTTGCCATAACATGCAGAGTAGGTCACAAATGCAACTTGGTTGGACTTGTGACTTCTCATTGTCTAAACTTAATTATGTTACCTTGAAATCATGCAACATCAATTTGCCAAGATTGCATACTTCCCCAAAATTGTACAATCCTATGGACCATTCTAATATCAGACATGTTGTTAACGGCTGACAGTGCGCACATTCAAATTCTCTTAAAAAAATCACCTGTCACCAGTGTTAATATTTATGCTTTGAAAAACTTCGCAATGAATATTTGTGCTACGGTCATCCTGGACACCTAATGTAACTTTTTCATTGTCCCCTAACTTCCTTTGTTACAAGTGAAATATCCCGTCGGTAACAACAGCGCGCGAGGGATTGTCACGCCCTATTGTTCACCTGTCATTTGTCGTTTGACACTTTTAGCGCTCTTTGTTGGGGGGAAAATTAACCCAATCCAAAACTGCATCCAACTTCCTGCGCTCGCGAGACATCTCGTCATATTTCCTGCATGCCGATATCGGGGTAATAGAAACTGCGTGGTGCGCGAGGCAGCGGGAAGCGGTAACGCACCTTCAAGCGGCGAGCACGGGGAGACCTGCAGTAGACGAAGTTGGAGAGGATGATCCGAAAGGTGTCCAACCCGCGCGACTCCTTCAACGCCACCACGTGCGGGCACGACGAGCCGCCGGCGCGGGTGCCCATTCCGACCGACCGCCTCGTTACAAGTCCGGAGGACACCCTTTCGTTTCTTAGGCGTCTAATTGTCGCCAGAAATGTCCCATGTAGCGGAGAATTTGTTGCTTTGTGTTGTCCACCTTCCTGGAAGCTCCACTACACGGGCCACCGTGAATCACTTCCGCTTCCGGTTCAAATTTAGACGATACCAATAGCGTTTTTTGGGTAGATCCAAATAACTCTATCTAGTAATACCGACAGTAAGATCGCATTTTATCGATTGGTGTACATTTCATGTTTCAATATATTTTATATGATTGAAAATGTCTTACTATTATAATTGTTCTTTCTTTTTCGAGATTGCTAATGACGACTAAATCCGTTAGTTCACCCGACGATGAAAGTAAACTCTTCCCCTGACCTGTCAGACGCCGGTTGAGGTTGGTAAGATATGAGTTAGAGTTGCACGTTTTTCCCGACTTCATACCTGTTACGGACAGGTATATTGTGGGTGTCAATCTCCAGATAGGTCGGGTCTCTTAAATTATACACCCCAAAACTGTGAAAACATTGAGTGTAGGGATTTGATAAATGATTTTAGATATAGGGCCATATAGCAAGGACATTCTATACCAGGCCTGTTGAACTGAAGCCCATTGGATATAGAGATTTGCCAGAAAACTAGGTCTTTGAGTGTAGTTGTTGTAGAGTCTATATAGTTACCGTGCTCCATGTTGTTACTAAATTACTAAAGAGACAAGGTATTGTGTGGTGTGATATTTATAAATAACTGTATGCATAGAACTATTAAATATAACTGTATGCAACTGTATCCATGAAACTATTTATCTTTAGTAAAAATTGGCATACTAGTAAGGCCTTTCTAAATGACCAATAAAAGTTGTATCTTTCCATTTTATTGTCAGTGCACATTGGAAGATGCTGGCTGTGTACCTGTTAGCTGCTGGAGGTTTGGCATTTGTTGTCATCACCCTGATGTTATCAAGGTTAACCAGGTCCAGACATGGGACAACAGTACGGGACAAGGTTGTCCTGATCACAGGGGCAGGCTCAGGGCTTGGGGAAGGTATGATATCATAGCTCTCTAGCATCACCTCAGCAAGATAGTTAAGGGTTAATGACCCACCCCGAGGTGTATATGGTGTCGTAGGGCCTGGACCTTTCCTATAACCACCGATTGAACCGCCAAGTGAGAGCTAGCTGGCATTGCAAACAAAGCGGTTTAACTTTAAGAGATGGTTATAGGACATGACCAGGCCTATGGCACCAAATACACCGAGGAACAGGCGGTGTTTATGGGATTAAATCACCACTGGTTAGGTTATAGCTTCGTAACCAGTATGAAATGGGGACTTCTGATTGGTCACTGTCATCTGGCTATAACCATTGAGGAGCAGACATGAACTAAAAACATTGTGGATACCAGGCTGATAACTCAAACACAGACTGAGATGTATTTTCATCTGTGCCTTTTCATGGCTGTTTACTGTATCCAGCATGCGCAGAGGTTTTCTTCCGAGCTGGAGCCAAAGTGATTCTCTCATCCCGCAGCAGTGATAAGCTGGAAGCTGCCAGTAAAAGACTCCAGACCCTAAATGTTGTAAGTAATGTGTCCTGAAGCCTACAACTGCTTGCTTTAGCTTGTACAGTTTCCTTCATCTGTTGTGCTAATACTAAGTATACTTAACTTAGGAAGGGGTTGACTTTGTGGCTCCTAGCGTAACAGACCTAATCTCCAAGCAGATCCTACAGTGCCAATAAAAATTAGTCCAAGAGGCCAAACAGGGACCACAGTATATGCTTGGGATCTTCAGTGGCTAGTGGACACTGCTTGGCTGATTGGATAATGCCTTCCCACTGTATGATCTGACATGTTTTGTATCCTGCCTATGTCCAGCCTGACGTGACTTACTCCCCTGTGATACTACCCCTTGACTTGGAGGACTTGGACAGCCTGAGTGACAAGGCTCAACAGGCTGTACAGTGTCACGGCAGAGTGGACATCCTTATTAACAATGCAGGTAGAGGTGTTGTTGTGGACCAGATCAGGCCCTTCTTCACAAACAGAAGTAGAATAAAAACAGAATAATGGTTGTAATCAAGAGCAAAGAAGTTCTTCCACAATTTTTAATTCTGTTCAATGTTAATCAGTAGCATGCCAATTGTTAAACAGTTCTTCAAAAAATAGGAAAAGAGGTTTTTATTAACTATTTGTCCTTTAATTATTTGTTAAGTCAATTCATCCTATAAGACCTCCTCAATTACCTTCCTAAAGGAATGCTGGCATACTAGTATTGCGTAATGTTCAAAGATATCAATGTCCATATATAGGTCTAGGATACAGAGGTACCTGTCTTGACACCACAACTGCTGTGCATCAGAAAGTCATGAATATCAACTATTTTGGGCCCATCACTCTAACCAGAGGTATGTTGATTTGCACAGGTACATTCATTGTAAAAAAAAAATGTGAAAACTTTGTCCTTACATTTCATTAACTGCAACTTTAGATCTTCTTCAAGATTAAAATGAGAACAAGCAATGTTAAAACATGTAATATGTAATTAGATGTTGGTATCACAGTATTTATTTTACATCATATTTTGTAGTGAAACATGACATGGAACATCTCCACTTGTACTGTCATAAAAGTTCATCTGTGCTGATAGTTATATGTTTAAGGTTAAACCTTTTGTTCCAATACAATGAACATCTCGCAATGCATTTTAATGTTTTTATTCATGTACTAGGAATCATCCAACACATGGCCCAGAATGGAGGAGGTCATGTTGTGAATATCAGCAGTTTGCAGGGCAGGATTGCCATCCCATACAGGTCTGCTTGTAAGTAAAAGAAAACTACATTGTATCAGTTTGCCAGAGCTGGGATAGGAAAATTTTCTACCTTCTAAAAAAGCTGTTGTATCTTTCATACCTTTCAATCTTTCCGTCCATCCTAGTGAGAATTTCTAACATTGGTGCCTTTTTTTGTACTCGATCCCATAAATATTTTGTTAGCTCTGTACAATATGTCGGGATGTAAGATGTTGTACATTAGATGTAACCGTACATTAGATCCCTGACACTTGACTATATTTCTATTTTGTAGATGCTGCAGCTAAGCATGCCCTGCAGGCATACTCAGACACTCTGCGGGCTGAGCTGGCCTCCAAGGGGGTGAAGGTGACAGTGGTGAGTCCTGGGTACATCACCACACAGCACTCTGTCAATGCCATCACATCAGATGCATCCCAATATGGAGGTATGTCCCTCATATACATGTAGTTTTAAAAGGCACATGACCATGGTTCTGTAATAGTATATTTTTTTCAATCCAGATACATGTATAATGCATCAGTCTTCTATTACAGTAACATCTGGATGTTTTTGAACTTTGGCAAAAAAAGGCTACTTAGGGAGTCTCTGGTGTAACCATGTCCTCTTTTTTTAGCTATGGACACCACCACAGCCAGTGGCATGGCTCCTGATACAGTTGCTCACAAGATTCTACAAGCTGTGGAAAGTGGGGATAATGAGCTCATCCTGGCAAAATTTACTCACAGGTAAAAGCTATTCACAAAGCAATACACCTGGTCCTTCATTGCACTGTTTTCCATTAAGTAGTATACGTGTAAATGTAATAATGTTAATACTGCCTGTTATTCTCTGTTCTGTTGTTGCAGGGCAGCAATTACACTTCGCTGTATCGCTCCTAGCATCTACTTTGCCATCATGAACTCCAGAGCAAAGAAAGAAGAGGATAACTACTCCCATCTGAAACAGAGCTGATAATTTTGCACCATTTCATTTTGTTCCAGCACAATGTATAACAGTATAAGAACAATATGTAGTCAGCAAAGCACAACACAGCAATTTCATGAAAGATGCAATATACATCAGAGTAGCTACTACTTTTTTGGTATGCTCTAAATTAGTAATTGGAGCAATAAAATAAAATGAAAATTTTTATACACGAACAGGTATAAAGAAATAATGCAAAGACGCAATACAATAAATAAGCAATTGTAAAAGTGAACAGAAATTCTTGGACATGTGTTATTCTCAAGTTGATAGAGAAGAGATTTATGTTGTGAGTGTGCATGTGTTTGTGTGTATGTGTGTGTGTGTGTGTGTGTGTTTGTATGTGTATGTCACACCAATAGAATTATGAAATGAAATTCACCTTTCATCCTGTATGCAGTAATTTACAGTGTATTGGGATTTTATATGTATAGATCAGTTAGTCACACATATATCTATTTCTACCTGAAGAAAATGTTGCAGTTGTAACCTACTTCTTATCATCTTGCTTCTGAGCATTACTTTGTGAAACATTGAATGTTGGATCTGGAACAAGAGGTTTAAGCTTGGTTACCCATTAGCCACTAGGCATGAGAAAGGAACCTCCACAGGAAGTAGCCCATTATGTGATAAGTGTTTTGCACATTGTTATTCTTGTGGTAAAAGTGCTATATGAAATACTGTAGTACATTACCAGTTATAGTGTAATAAACCAATGCAATATGCAAGATAATTGGATGTAGTGAAAGGCACCAGATTACTGACTTCTGATTTGTAAGAAGAAACTGAGCATGGGTATTGCTGACTTTCACATTTTGGTAGTTTATGAGAGGTTAAATTTCTCTGTCAGCAATTAATAGTCACCTAACCTGTAACAAAGGACATTGTCTCTGTTATTATAATACTTACAGTGGCCAATTTTGGCTAGATGCAGAGTAGACAATGGAGTCAGGTGAGAGATTGAACAAAAGGGTGCTAGACAAGCTGACGTCGTTTAAACTGTCTGGTGGGGAACACTGCATTGTATCATATCATAAACCTGCCATTGTTTTCTTGTTGATTGCGCTTGGTGGCTCGAACATGAACTAGACGAAGTAAATTCAAAATTGTGAAAATTTTTGGCATGATATTTAACAAAAGACAAAATCCGATATCTTTGTTTATCTTGTTATATACGAGTATGCGCAAGTAAAATTAATCTATTACTTAACACTTCTACAACATTGAAATTTGCCCTGATGCAAAAGCCCAGCTATGCGGGGTCAGGGCATAATGCACCTGCAAAAATCACATTCCCGTGTTGTCAACAAAACATTTTATGTTTCCAAGGGGACCACGTTCCAGAACTTTCAAATCGAGATAACCATATAGTAAGGCAAAAATTTTTGGTATACTCTAGTAATGTTTTCAGTGACGAAACAGTTGTGCTGATGAACTTTAACCTTCTGTCGCACGTACAGCACCGGATTGGGTAATCAGGGGCGTGTTTGCTATCCCACAATTCCTAGAGCGGGCGTCAGCAAAGAAGAACGAGAAGACGTTTTACAGTTGAGGTTGCTGTTGTCCCTCGTCCACTTTTTCGCCCAATTTCGCCAAGCTGTCTGTCCATAAGCCCACCAAAACCTGCCAGATACACAAAGGAGTGTACGTAATGGCAGACGGTGGGGAGGACTGCAGCGACTGGCTGCGCAGCTGGAATCAGTTCGAGCAGCAGTGCGTGGAGGAAGTGGAGGGTGAGGGGAACATGGAGGAGCGGCTAGCCGGGGAGAGAGAGGACGTGGCGCAGAAGCTATGGCTCTCCTTCCAAAACTCCGCCACGGCCGTAGCACAACTCTACAAAGGCAAGTTACCGGAGAAATAAACCTCCATGTATAATGCTACTATTTTACGGGAAGAATGTTCAGTCGGAGAGTGAAAATGTCTCGGACAGAGGGCGTCGGTCAGCTGAAGACAAACCGAAGGTTTTTTTCGCCAGTGCTGTGTAGTCTATCAGCTACAGCAGCTGGCCATTATTGTGACCTAATCTATGATTCTTTATTATGGGAAACTTGTGTGTGATGTTAGTCATCGACTTAGTTGAACTTGTAGGGATGCAATTTCTTGTAGTTTCGGTCAGGGTTGAAACAGAAGGCAACTTCTTTTTTCCATAATTTCCTAGACCCCCCCCCCCCCCACCACACACACACATACATAACAGGGCAGGGACCAGATAGCAGCAAACAATATAACGCAAGATATCCACAAATCTAAGGTAGATTGATAATGATATAGACAACTAGTATCTCTTCATGTGGTACAAATTTCGGGAGAAAGCTACACCTTTATATCTTGACATGACTTGTAATATTATAGTTAAAACATTTGTGGAATTTTTGAGTGCAAATTACACAACCAAATACTGGTGTGTCATAATGAAGTGCAATCTGTTATGTCTGTAGAGTCTGCACTGCTCGGTAGTGTTGTAGAATGAAAGAAAAGTAGGCAGATGGCACCAGACAGAAAGGCATGAAATATGTAAATTGTTACAGATATCAGACGACTGGTAAGAAACAAACCATTTAATCAATGTTAGCCATTATCTACTGAAGAATTAGATTCTCACAAACTAGAATAAGCTGTCTTACATACAATAGGTACAAAAATATGTCGGCTTCATTTTTCTAGATCTTTGTTTTGTTAAATTCTACCATCAAGTTCCAACTTGTTCTGTCCAAAGATAGCACCACAGCAAATTATGGGTTGATGATTAACAGGGTGTTGTTTACCACATTACAACATAAACATAACATGTAAGGCACCACACAGAAAGGTGGCTGTATCTGTTTTTCAACACTTGTAGTAAAACTTCTACATATGCTTGAAACGGACAGAAACTAACGCCATTTTACTTGATAATAAGTGTCATTTGACAGTAATTACTTTGAATTACAATTTTTAAAGCTCACCAGAACATATTCTTTCAAAACTCCACATGGCATGCAATGAAGTTCTCCTCGACTAGTCTTTTTCTTTTATGCACGTCCTGTCGTCCTTCATATATTGATGGATGCTTTGAAAGGAAAGCTTGGTAAAAAAAACATTGCCAAGATTTAAAATACAGTAGGCTTTCTCAAAGCTTGTGTAACATCCCAGCCTTTAGCTGCGGGTGCGGATTCTACCAGATCAGAGTGAGTCTCTATGCTGACTTCTCTAATGTGAATAAAAAAATACATACAGTGCTTGCGCTACATGCAGAATGTAGGTTACGTCAAAATTAATTCAGTCTTAGTCTGCTCATTAATACAATTGATTCTACAATGACCATCTTTGAGAAATCTGGCATACTTGGGGATGAACAAATCAACAATTGATTTTGATTAGTACAGCTTTTCTGTATGGTATTTCACAAAACCAAACAAAATGTGCAAGTCCTTTTGTTACCAGTCACTTTAATTATTTGATCTTACTGTATTTTGCACCGTGTACTTACTGTTACCGTAATCAAAGGGGCTTGTCTTCTGAAATTATGTTGGTAGTTAATGTAAGCTGTGTTGTTTCTATGTACCAAATGCATTAATTTATAAGCCCTGACATGTTTTGTTATTTGTCCCCTCAGATCGTGGGCAGGGCTCCCATGTGTGGCAGGTGTTTCAGAACGCAGCCCAGGCTGTCACCCTCCTGTACAAAGGTATGGTCTATCCACACAGCAACTGGAATATACTAGTAGCTTTCTTGTTGATTTTTGTACTTTGGTACTTTACTTTGGCTGTTGACTTTGGACATGTAGTTTGAGTCATTTGTATTTGTGTACAAAGGCATATATTTGGATCCAGTGTAGGTAAGTTTGAGGTTTGAAACTGCTTCTTTTTGTAACACTGTTTTGTTTCCATGTTTCATCACATTCTTGTTACATATAAGTATCTAGACATTTTGACTGGACTTGTGTTTGCACAGTTCTAACCTTTGTCACACCACAAATGGGTGTTACAGATAGCATAGATGCCAATAAGCGGTCTGAGGACTTTGGCATTCAGTGTGGATACCAGCGGCGGACGCGGGACGTTGTTGCCTGGGCCAAGAAACGGCGTCGCCACATCCGCAGGGAAGAACTGCTAGCCTTTCTGTGTGGAAAGACTGTGCCGTCGCGGACTGGGTCCCGCAGCCCGCCCCGCAGTGCACCGGGAGAGCCCCGCCTCGGCAGCCAG